GTATATATCTGTAGTACATGTAAATGCAAATGTAGAAATATCTTCTCTCAAACCTATATATATTTGTGAGTGTAGTCTCATTTTCCTTTCAACATCTGTTCTGTTTGCATGCTGATTTTTCAGAAATACATCAGGCCTTTCTTTCAAGTCACCTTTGGGTGGACTTGAACCTCCAACCTTTTGGGCAGCAGTCAAATGTCTTAATATTAGCCACTCTTTATTGAGAGTCAACCATGTGCCAGGCTCTGGGCTAAATAAACATTACTCACATGTAATGCTTGTATTATTTGTACTATTTGGATGGGTCAGGAAACAGGCTACAAAGGGCGTATTTATTTGCTCATGATCATTCAGTTTGACCGTGGTGGAGTAGAATTTCGAATGTAAAGTCCTGATTTGAAAAAAAAAAAAAAAAACTCTTCCTATAATGTTTGAATTTCAAGCTCTTCCTCACATTCAAACAAATCATTCCCTGCTTTATCTGAATGCCAACAGCTCCTTTCCAGAGCCTGTGGACATTGGGGAAGGGCTACTTAGCAGCTGCCTCATATAACACTGTCACAAACACAAAGGCAGCAATTAAGTCCTCCTCTCACCTTCCTCTCTCTGGCTGTGGGGGATGCATTTCAGCACCCATCAGGCCTCTTAGGAGCAGCCATAGCTGCAAAAACACATTGGAGCTGTTTTCAACCATGTGCTGAATTCCATGACACCGGTTCTCAGCTACTCATTCCATCTGCTGGAAACCGCTGGGCATCATGGACAGGGTGGAGGGCCTAATGAAGCAGAGAAAGACCAGGTGCTTCTACCCTGGGCCAGAAGGCCCATGACCACCTCAGTGGCAGGGGAGGGGAAGAGACGGTGTAAGCCTGGGATTTTATGTAGGAGTTTTGGTGGTCAGTGCAGGCTGAAGAAGCATTTCCAAAATGGTGTTTCTATGGACACTGCTGTTATATGAGATGTTAATAAATGACCTATGGGAAAAATAGTCTTTGGTCAAGATGGTTTCATAGACAATGAGCTAAACAAAGCAGCCCAGCTTTCTTTGCTATAGAACTCCTCAGGGTCTTTAACAGACTAAGACACATTCAGGAATATCCAAATGGAAGATGGAGTGTGTAGCATTTCCAGGACTTTTAGACCATGGAGACCTTTAGTAAATAAGATGGAAATGTAGGGCTGACATATACTATCCTTATGCCTCTTCTGAAAATATCTTATTATCCAATGGTGCAAGCAAAAACTCAAGCTCATGGTTACCAAGCCATTTTGAAAATTACTTTAACAGCATCTACTTGAGCACATTTAATGTGCTATCCGTTAGTGATTCTATCTATGGGGTGGGGGGGAACAGGATCTCTTGGGTTCTGTACCAGAAGGCTTTTGACTCACCACTATAGAGCTACTTATACCACCACTTTGAAAGTCATAAAAATGAGCCACTTCCCAATGATCTTGAATGTTAATATACTCATTGATTAAAAAAAAAAAAAAAAGTTAAGCACTTTTTATATATTAGGTTTATGAATAAAAAGCTTATATCTTAGAAAAGAAGGCAGTAAATAAATAAAAAGCAATAAATAAATATGATTTTAGGCTAAAGTAGTACTACAAAAGAAGTAAAAATGGGCTGTGTAACAGCAGATTCGGGATAGAAAGGAGCACAACTTTAAATTGGGTAATCAAGGCAGACAGCTCTGAGGGGATAACATTTGAACTGAGAGCTGAAAGGTAAGAAGGGGGCAGCCAGTTGGGAGAGTTAGGAGGAGTGGCAAGCAGAGAGAAGAGCTTGTGCAGCTCTAAAGAAGTAAACCATTTGCTGTGTTCCTGTAACATGAAAGGAGCTCTGGTGGTACAGTGCTTATGGTGTTTGACTACTAACCAGAAGATTAGTGGTTCAAAGCCACCAGCCACTCTGTGGGAGGAAGATGAGCAATCTACTTCCGTAAAGATTTACCACCTTGGATACCCAATGGGGGGGGGGTCGCTAACTCAATGGCAGTGCATCTGGTTTGGTTTGGGTTTTTGTAATGTGAAGAAAGGCAGCTTGGCCAGAGTGTAGGGTACTGCAGAGAAGAGTGCAGCAGCCAGGTTGAGCAAGTCAACAAAAGCCAGAGTGGACCTCATTCTAAGGATAATGGGGCATAATGGTCAAGCGCTTGGCTGCTAACCTAAAGGTCAGTTTTTCAAACTCACCAGCCGCTCCACAGGAGTAAGGATCTGGCAATCTGCTCCTGTAACATGTAAGCCCAGAAAACCCCAGGGGGAAGTTCGACTCTCTCCTATAAGGTCACTGTGAGTTAGCATGGACTCGATGACACCTAACAACAACAAAAACTACCTACTGAAGTTGAGTCTATCTGGTTTTATGTTTCTAAAAAGATTACCGTGGCTAACTTGGGAAGATGGAATCAAAGGAGGTTAGTTGCAGGGAGGAAGTGACAAATACCAGTGGTAATAGTGGTCATGAAGAAAGAGAGGTCAAATTCAAGATACATTGTTAAGATACAAATGAATTTCTTCATGGGTTAGTTGTATAAGGCCCCATCTAACTTATATATTAAAATAGCTTGATATCTAATTATGGCCCAGTCCAAACAGTAGATCTACGCGTTTTTTCATTCTGGCCACATGGGATTCTTTCTTTCAGTTGTGCTGGTAAGTCTATAGTATTTAATGAACTTTCTGCTATTTCAACACTGTTTACATGAACAATTCAGTGATATTAACTATGTCCATTATGTTGGGCAACCATCACCACTATCCATTTCAAAATTCTCCCCTCTTCTCCTCCTTCCTATTCCTGATATGCACTTTGGTCTCTGTACATCTGCATATTCTTGATTTTAATTAAATTTGGAATTTCCCCTAAGAGGGGGGAAAAGATAAATTCTGGAGTGAAGTCCAAGTTTTATACAAACAAAATATGTTCCATGTGGCATTGTTTATAATGGTGAAATAACAGAAACAGCCTATATGCCTAAGAGTAGGGGGGCCTGGTTAAGAAAATTAAAGTGTATATAAAAGACATTTTTGAAGATTTCAATGCCATAATACTTTTTAGGTTGTAATACAAAATATAAATTCTGATTGGTAGCAAAGAAGGGAAAAACTAAAGACTTGGAGTCAGGTGTGTTTATGTTATATGTGTATGTGTGTGCAGCAAGGAAGTTGGAGGGATTCTCAGGAATAGAAGGGAGAACAAAAACAGAGAGACAAGGCCGAGTACAATTATGAGTGGTCCTGAATGTTCAACATAGAAGAAATATAAGGTATCATTTATTGAGCTCCTGATACATTCTAGCTGAGTATTACAAGATAGTCTACACTCATCATCTCATCGATCCTCAAAGCAACCCTCTGATGTAGGACTGGCATTCCCATTTTACAGAAGAGGAAACCAAGACTCAGATAGATCACCCTGACACTTCCACTGTCATACAACTTGAAACTCACTGGGCTGGGCTGGCTCCTGCCCTTTATCACACTATAATCATTGGCACCTGGGTTTTACCACATGCATTCCAGGAAGGAAGCCCAACCATCTCCTCTGTCTCCATTTATGACCTCAGCTTAACACTTTCATTTTGGTTTTTCACAATAAGGATTATGGCCTAATCATCTTCTCAACAAATAAGAAAACATCTGTCATGTCAGGAATACAATAAGATGGTTACTATCTCCAAAAAACCTCTCTGGATAGCAGAGGAGAGAAGCAGATAACAGCAAATTATATTACACAAAAATGAAACCAGTGCTTGCAACGTGTGTAAAGAAACTTGAGAGAATTTAGACTGGATTTTGACTGTGACGATCAGTGATATGTTCGTGGAAATACGCCATTCAAGTCGAGCTTGGAAAGAAAGGTAGCACTTTAGTAGTATAGAATATAGCAATTAAGACCAAGGGTTAAGGACTCAGACTACGTGGTTCTCTCTGGACGCACCATTTACCCTTGGGCAAGTTACTGCAGCTCTCTGTGCCTTGGTGAACTCATGTGTAAAATGGCAACCAGCACTGCACCTGCTTCATAGGATTGCCATGAGGATCAAATGAGATAAGATACATATAACATTTAGCCAGATGCCTGGAGTAGATTTGAGTTCTCAATAAAAGGCAATGGTTATTCACAAAAGTGATTCCATAAAGAGGGAATGACACAGGGAAGAACATAGGTTTAGAAGAGACAGCAGAGAGGTTAGAGCTCTGTACTGACCCTGAATGTCATGTCCATAAGCCCAAAGACCTCTGAAGACACCGGGCAACCAATGAAGCTCTGGGAGAACAGGAGTGACATAAGAACCACCAACTTATAGGAACTGGAGAAGTGAGAAGCAGGAAGACAAAAGGCCAGCTGGAGACTATAGTGTACTGGGGGGAAAGAATAAAGATAGAGTTTAGATAACAGGAAATGATGAGGGGCTCCTTCCACAGACAAAGTCACACAAACAGGCAGGGGAAGAAGATGATGATGTAGGAAGAGGGAAAGAGGAAGAGGCAGAGGACAAGGAGGAGGAGGAAAAGTACTACTTTTTACAAAAAGTGTATAATGTCCCTGCTCATGACCACTATATTATATAGCCTACTAAAGAGTAGGTTCCAACCTGTGATCCTGGCTCCTCGCTGGAGAATGCCTTCCCCAAGTTCATTCTGCCTGTCTTGCCCTCTCAAGAACGACACAGCTACGATTCAAAGGGCATCTACTGTGTGCCAGGCCCTGTGCTAGACACTTTCTATATTGTTACTAATCAATCACCCTACAAGATGGGTGATCCATTGCAACTCTCAGAGAAGCAGCTGGGACTCAGGGAGGTTAGTTAAACACTGAGGGTCACAGGTCTGCAGTATCCAAGGCCTCCACCGAGGTGATTCACTGGGGAGACAGTGTCATGAGTTCTATGACCACAGGGAAGCCAGAGAGGAGGATGCAACTCTCCCCAGCATCTCTGGAACCTGGGGACAGACTGCTGACTTTCTGGCAAGAGGCATCCGGGGCCTACCTCGAGACTTGCTCCTCCGCCTCCGCTTCCCTGCTGACATGCTGCGTGGAGCTGGCTGGAGCTGACCGATCTCGATGGGCGTGTTAGTGCGGAAACTCTCCTTGAACTTCTGCATCAGGGACTCCACTGTCTCCTGCGTCGCCTCTGCTGCTGCTACAGGGTGGGCAAGGGGGCTGAGGTTAGGGCTAGGCCTACTCCCATTCCTTGGAGGTCTGGGCCTGGCCACCCTAAGTCCCGGAAACTCCCTCCCTGTCCCAATGCTAACACGCAAAACAACACATTGATCCCAGCACAGATGTATCCCTTGACTTATCCATTTATTCATTCAAAACCTACTATAGTTCGGACATTACCCTTGGCCTTGAATAGATGGTAGTGAAAAGCCAGACACAATCCATGATTCAAGTAATTTGTAATTCTGTAAGGAATATAGCCAGGCAATCCCCACACTGTGTGATATTGCTGTGATAGAAGAGTACAAAGGAAGTAACAGGAGAGTACCAGGACAAGTCATCTCATCCATCCTTGCAGTCAAGGCTGCTTCCTGGAGGAGACAATATTTAGGTGGAGACCTTAAGGATGAGCAGGAGTTAGCAAAACAAGGCCACGTTGGAGTTGGTAAAAAGATTTGGAAAGAGAACGTACTGGGTAAAAGGAGAAGTATGTGCAAAGGTCAGGAGCTAGAAAGAGCATGATGCTTGGAGCAAGTGGAAGGAGTTCAGTGTAGCTGTAGCAGAGCATGCAAGGAAGGGGCTGTGGGAGTTGAGGCTGCAGAGGTAAGACTCTCTTGTACGCTGCATTTAGGAGGCTGGCCTTTATCCAAATGGCAAAAACAAAAGGCTGTCATTGAAAGGTTTTAAAGAGGAGACTGACATTCCCAAACCTAATCACTTTGATAACAATGACTAACTACAGTATGGAGAATGCAATTAGAGACTGTGAGGAAGGCCAGCCAAGAGGCTTTTGCAGAAGCTAGCCAGAGAAGGCTGGTGGCCTGAACCTGGCAGTGGTGGGGAAAGTAGGGGAAAGTAGATTAGTCTTACAACACTTTAGGAAAGAAAGCTGACCATGGATTGTGCAAACAGATAAGCACTGAAGCACTAACAGAAAGGTTGGTGATTTGAACCCACCTAGAAATTCCTTGGAAGAAAGGCCTGGTAATCTGCTCCCGAAAGGTAATAGCCTTGAAAACTCTGTGCAGCACAGTTCTACTCTGACAGGTGGGGTTGTCATAAATCAGAACTGACTGGACAGCAACTGGTTTGGTTTGTTTTTCGGAGGCTATGCAGATCACTGAGTACAACACTCCCATGTTCCTGAGGGGGAACTGAGGCCCCCAAACAAGGGAGATGACTGATGCTAGTAAGTGGCAGAGTCCTGGCTAGGCCTCAGGTCTTCTCATCCCCAGACCACAGTTCCGTTCCCAACAAGCCTCCCCTGATGATTTGCTAGCAGCCACATTTCCTCAAAGTTTTAACATTAAGACTGGTAGAAATGTTCCAGGAAATGGAGACAGTGAGGTCAGAAGGGCAGACAGAAAAAGATGGAAGATGAAAGGATAAACAGTAAAAACCTCGAGAAGGAAGGAGAGAGGCAACATAAAAAGCAGTAAGAGGAAACCAGAAAGACGAAAAGGAAATTTGTTGAATGGCTTTAGTGCCTCAGAAATTCCAAAAAGAGCCCCTACTTTGAAATCTTCAAACTCAGCCCTCCCGCCATCTCTGCCTCCAGAGGCTAGGACATTTCTTATTCAGTTTGTGCTCCATGCTGTACAATGGCAACAGATGAGACATGCCAAAGATTCCTGTTTCTTTGAAGGGAGTTTCACCAGACTGGACAGAGAAGGCACCTGACCATCCAGCAACTGCTTTCTAATGAGTTCCTGTTTTTCTAGGAAAGCTTATCAGCTTCAACAGATGGGGCAGCTCATACCCCTCTGAGGGATGGTCTGTGAATTGGGCCCTGGGAGAAACCCCATCTTTGGAGTAGTAGGGGAAACTGTGTTTGCTAAGGATAAGAGAACTGGCAATTGTCTTAGTTCTCTAGTGCTGCCCTAACAGAAATACCACAAATGGATGGCTTCAACAAACAGGAATTTATTCTCTTACAGTTTAGGAGGTTAGAACTCTGAGTTCAGAGTGCCAGCTCGAGGGGCCAGGTGGAGGCCTCTCGACCGTGGGCTTCAGCTCTGTCTCTTGTTCCAGGCCCATTGGTGCAAACTAAAGGCTTCTTCTGACTCACATAGCTGCTGGCTACAAGGCTGATCAATGCTAGCTAGACAGGCAAAATGGCATACTCCCAAGATCAGTACGCAATGTAGCAGGCCACTGATTCAAGTCTAGGAACAATCCTGAGATCAGGAGGGAACACTGCTGTGGTAGTTAAGTTTGTGTGTCAGCTTGGCTGGGCCTGGTGGAGTGGTGGGCAGCTGGGTATTCCCCATGATATGACTGGGAATCCACTCCATGGTGGAATCTATTGTGAGCAGCTGAGTAGCTGCCTTAGGGATGTGCTGTGCTTCCTGTATATAAGGAGAAGCTTTGGGAATGGTCTCTAGCTTATGGCACAACTGAACCCTGCATGTAGCCGTGTTGTTGTTCAGCAGACTGTCATGCTCTGTTGACCTCGGGACTTTCAGTGGACTTGAATTAAATGGCCTGCTGTGTGGTTTGGTAACAATGGGCCTGTGCCTTTTTACTTGTCAACTTTGGGCTTGTCGGTCTCAGCAGTCAGCAGCTGTTGGAGTGAAGATTCAGTGGGCCTCTAGATTCAGTGGGCCAGGAGCAGGAGGCAGAGCTAAAGCCCAAGGGTGAGGGGCTCTCACCCAGCCCCTAGAGCCTGGCACTTTGAACTTGGACTTAAAGCCTCCAAACTGTAAGAGAATAAACTCCTGTTTGTTCAATCATCTCACTTGTGGTATATTCTTGTCAGAGAGGCACTAGGCAACAAGAACAATGAGACTGGTGATCAACTCCATGGTAGAATCAACTGAGAGCAGCCAAGTAGCTGCTTTAAGGCTGTGGTCTGCTTCTAGTACATAAGGAGAAGCCTTGGTGATATCTCTAGCTTTTGGCATGCTTGATTCTTACATATAGCCAAGCTGCTGTTGAGCAGCCTGCCATGTTCTCTGCTGATCTTAGGACTCTTTCTAGACTTGAATCAATGGCCTGCCATGTGGTTTGGTAATATTGGGACTGTGCCTTTTTCCTTGTTGATGTTAGGTTTGTCAGCCTCAGTAGCCAGCAGCTGCCTGAGTGAAGAAAGCCTTCAGCTTCAGTGGGCTGGGAGCAAAAGGTAAAGCTAAAGTCCAAGGTTGAGGGGCTCTCACCCAATCCCTAGGGCCTGTCACTTTGAACTCAGACATCTAGCCTCCAAAAACTGTAAGTGAATAAACTCCTGTTTGTTAAAGCCATCCCATTTGTGGTATATTTTCTGTTAGAGCAGCATGAAATAACTAACACAACAGCCCAAAATGCACCAAAAAGCTACAGACCTTCAACTAAGTTTCTTATATACTGGAAGCAGGGCACACCCCAAAGGTAACTCCCCTTCAACTACTTAGCTGCTTACAGCAGATTTCACCATGGAGGTGATTATAATCTCATCATGGAGAATAACTACATCCAGCTGCCTAGTCACTCAAAACCACAGCTCAGAAAAGCTAACATACAGCCTTAACTACTACAGCAATGCATATGACTCATCTAAGGAGCTCTGGTGGTGCAGTGGTTAATGCATCTGATTACTAACCAAAAGGTCAGTGGTTCAAACACACCGGCTGCTCTGTGGGAGGAAGGCAGTTAAGGCTGTGAAGATCTACAACCTTGAACATCCTATGGAGAAGTTTTACTCTGCGCTATAGGGTTGCTATGAGTTGGAATTGACTCCATGGCAGTGGATTTGTTTTGGTTTTTGATGAACCATCTGGTGGCAGTATAGCTTCCTTGCTTCTTTTACTGCCTCTTTTCAATGATACTTAGTTAGCTCTGCTTGAATGTGAATCAAGATGATGCCAAACATGGCTTCCTACTCCAAGCCTGTGATGCATCATCTCCCAGCACTCTCCAGCAAAACTATGCCACAGTACAATTCTAAGAAGCACTGTTGTTGTTATGTGCCATGGAGTCGGACATAATGACCCCTCCTTAGGTTTCTGAGGCAGTATCACTATGGAAGTAGATTGCCCCATCTTCCTTCTGAAGAGTGGCTGGTGGGCTGCCCAATTCTGATACATTACACAGAGAGGAGAACGACTTACCCTAAATTGTAAAAGGTGAGAAGTATTGTGGTCAAGAGCCAGAGCAAGCCAATGTCTGGAATCCTCCAAGGGAAAGAACTGCACAGGTCTGTCAACATTCATTCATTCATCTCTACATTTATTCATCCATTCATGAAACAAGGATTTTTTTTTTTTTTTTTTTTTTTTAAACTATCATGTACTTACGCTGATCACAGGAGATACAATGGTGGGGGAAAAAAAAAAAGGAAACAAACAAAAACCCATCAGCCACTGCCCTCATGATGCTTACTATATAGATATAGACCCATATTAATATGATAATTGACATGCAGATGTCAAAGTTACAAGTCATATGTACTATGAAGGCATGGCGAGTGATGACAGAAGAGGCTATACTAGAGGAAGACTATTTTGTCTAAGAAATCTATGGAAGTGTTACTAACTTCTGAAAGAAGTATGAATTAATTAGGTGGGGGAAAAAGTGGAGGGTATAGTGTGGGATGAGGTGAGGAAAGCAAAACAGGAAGAGGGAATAGACTAGGCTAAGTTCCCATGGGGAAAGCAGTAGAGAATCGGCAAATGGTGCTGAAACTATGAAAGCAAGTTGCTGGAGGAGTAAAAAGAGCTCAGACTCCAGAGGGTCTCTTTGGACTTTGATATGAATAGGATATGCTAAAAATCGGAGATACGAATGCAATTTAATCAGATTTCCATTTAGGGACCATCACTCTGGCTGGAAAGAGAAGAATTCACTGAAGGTCAGGGATGGAAATCAGAAGATCAGCAAGGACCAACCAGGAAGATAGTTTAGCAGTGCAGAAGTCTAAGAATGGAACGATGGGAGGCTGGTTTAGGGTAGCAGTGGGAGAAAGAGAAGTGGGCAAATTTGAGAGTTGTTTTGTAGATAAAACTC